AAGATTTGGGGTGCGAGGCTTTCGTGAGGCGCGAGACTCATGACAAGCTCGAACCTCGAAGTGAAAGGTGTATTTTCATCGGCTACCCACAAAAATCTTTTGGTTACCTCTTCTACAGACCCAGTGAGAATGTGGTTTTTGTGGCTAGGAGAGGGGTATTTCGAGAGAGAGAGAATTATAAACCAGGAGACAGTGGGAGGAAAATTGACTTGAAGAAATTCAAGAGTCATTGGTGAAGGAACCTCAGACACGAGCAATCAACCTGAGGAGGAAACTCCTGTTGATCCAGCTGACGAGTCTGTACCTCCGAGACGTTCCACAAGGGTTAGGAGCACACCTGAGTTTTATTATGGATTTCATATTACTACGGAAGGTGATACATTTATCAGTGACAGTACACTGGTAAATCTGGTGAACTAACAGTGTTAAGAAGCCATGGCAGGCCCGGAGTCTGCTAAATGGAAGGAGGCTATGGACGCGCAGAGCTACAGTCCATGTATGACAATCAAGTTTGGAACTTGGTTGACAATGTACCAGGCCGTAAGGCAGTCGGGTGCAAATGGATCTTCAAGAAGAAGACCGACATGGATGGAAAGGTACACACTTATAAAGCGCGACTGGTCGCGAAGGGTTTTACTCAGACTCAGGGTATTGATTATGATGAAACCTTTTCACCAGTAGCAAAGATTAAGTCTATTAGGGTTATGCTAGCCATTGCTGCATTTCATGATTATGAAATATGGCAAATGGATGTCAAAACCGCCTTCCGTAACGGAAAATTGGCTGAGGATGTTTACATGAATCAGCCAGAGGGTTTTTTCAGTGCAGAGTACCCTAATAGAGTGTGCGAGCTTGAGAAATCCATTTATGGATTGAAGCAAGCATCTCGAAGTTGGAATCTTTGTTTCGATGAGAAGGTCAAAGAGTTTGGTTTCTCAAGAAGTGAAGATGAGTCTTGCGTGTATGTCAGAGCTAGTGGGAGTATAGTTAGCTTTTTGGTGTTGTTGTATGTAGATGACATACTACTCATAGGAAATGACATCCCAACCTTGCAGGAGGTTAAGTCCTGGCTTGGGAACTGCTTTGCTATGAAGGACCTTGGAGAAGCTGCCTATATCCTAGGGATAAGGATATTAAGAGAAAGGAGTAAAAGACTAATTGGACTTAGTCAGAGTATCTACTTGGATAAGGTGTTGAAAAGGTTCAACATGCAGAACTCCAAGAAAGGAGAATTACCGATCCAAAGCAATGCCAAACTGAGCAAGGCTCAGAGCCCAAGTAAGAAGATGAGATAGCTGAGATGAGTCGTTACCTTATGCTTCCACTGTTGGCTCGATCATGTATGCTATGACTTGTACCCGTCTGATGTGGCCTTCGCTTTGAGCATGGTCAGCAGATATCAGGGGAACCCTGGCAAGGCTCATTGGACTGCGGTAAAGAATATTCTCAAGTACCTGCGGAGGACTAAGGATTGGATCCTTACTGGTGGGAGTGAGTGATGACTTGAGAGTGGTGGGTTACAGTGATGCTAGTTTTCAGACTGATAGGGATAACTTCCGCTCTCAGTCGGGCTGGGTCTTTACCCTAAATGGAGGGGCATCACTTGGAAGAGTTCCAAACAGGAGACTGTAGCTGATTCGACTTGTGAATCAGAGTGCATAGCAGCGAGTGAAGCGGCAAAGGAGGCGATATGGCTGAAGAACTTCATCGGAGACCTTGGAGTTGTACCAGCTATTAAGGAGCCTATAGAGATTTTCTGTGACAGCAATAGTGCTGTTGCCTTAGCCAAGGAACCAAGAGATCATGGGAGATCCCGACCACTTGACAGAAAATATCACTTCATAAGACACAAGATAGAAGAGGGACTCCTCGTGGTAAAGAGGGTATCGTCATATGAGAACCCTGCGGATCCCCTTACGAAGGGACTGACGAGGGTTAAGCATTTGCAGCATGCGAGACGCATCGGGATGAGGGACGATATAGTTTTACAGATTAGGTAGTTCTTACTGAAACTTGTAAAATGTAATCGACATTGATGATGAATAAAAGTTGTGATTTATTTATGAGTAAGTGTTGCTATCATTGTCAATTATTTACTATTGTTTCAGCTTTGCATGTTTTGACTTCCAGAATAATAAAAATTTATTCAAATTCTCCACAGTCGGTCATATGTCGGAAGTAGGTATGAATCAAGACTGTCATGAATTGGGATTGTAGACGACTAAAGGTGTTTAGCCATAGCAATTGTTGCTACAACATTCATGAGTGCTCATAAGTTATGAGTATTGAATATAAACCACGCTCACTTGTATCACTTCATGGAATTTATCTCGAGTGACCGTGAGACGGTAATATCATATAAGTCTTCAAACCTAGAGATATGAGTTGTTACCTATGAGTTGGTTGTGCATTGATTGCACGTAAACGCATCAGTAACTTGATGTTATAAAACGTGCCTTTGTGTACAATTCAACAAGTACTAGAACAAGCATATGAGTCGAAGTTTATCTGTTCCTTCTTGAATTAGAAGCGATGTCTGGGCCCCTCGATGATTTTGTTTTGACCTATGTACCGGGCCGATCCGAAACTAAATTTGTATGTGTTCGATTAAGTTCTTTGTCAAACAAATCGGAAATCGAGAGAAAACAACTGCTGGACAATAAGTAAGACATTGTTCCATGTATTTGTCCGGCTGATATCATGAGAGAGCAGAGGATTATATGATCACTTATCTAAAATGGCGCTTCATAGTTCAACAGAGTTTTCGAGAGCTACGATTGTCGGTTGGTTCCTGAAGCTATATAGGCAAATACAGTTATCAGACTTATACAAGTGGGAGACTGTTGGATAAGGTGTCTAAGTCCATAACTTATTTGGTATATATTTGACCCGACCCGGCATGGTCCATTTGGGTTGCACTTCACCCGAACTATTTATATGGATAATATTATGAGAAGAGTATATTTGCGGCCTATTAATATATTATAAGTTATAATATATATATGAAATTGTATTATTTAATTAGTATTGATCTTAAATTAATTATGAATTAATTTAGTGATTATAAGGTGACTAATTAATAATGGGCTATTATATTTATATGGTGTGAGCTAACACTCATTAGGAAATGCGCTAAGCTTAAATGGGAGTCCATGGATGATCAATGGAGCTTTTAACCCATGGATCTTGTAGGAAAAAAAGACATGGGTTATTAGGGTTTGCTGGTTCATAACCCTAATCATCTACACTATATAAAGAGGCTTTTGGTGCTTGAAAAGTGACTATGTGTGTGTGCATAAGAGTGGCCGAATTTCTAGAGTGATTGTATACTCTCTCATAAGTTTTCCAAGTTTGTGGTGATTTGTGATTTCCATTTGAGGCATTCACATTATTGGTGCTTGGCTTTCAAACTCCTAAGGAATCAACTCACTAACAAAGGTATGTAATTCTTCTAGTATCTTTTATGTTTAAAAGTACTCCATGCATGCTAGATAAGTTATGAACCTTGGAAAATTATTTTGCATGTATTTTAGACAAACATAGATCCAAGGTTTCTAGGGTTGCATAAACACCTTAGGAGTGTTAGTTTGCTCAAAACCCAACAATACCCTAGGGTTGGACCCAACTGTATGTTTGGTATGTGGTATTTTAGGAAACTCGCTAAGTTTTGTGCTTAAAGTTTGTGTTTATGGTTTCAGGTACTTCAAGTATAAAAAAGGAAAGGTCTGGCGTGATGGCACAGCATCCCCCTCATGATTCCGCATTTATGATTATTTTTACTCTGATGATTTGACATTTTGTATCATTGTTGGCTTTGAGACATCTAATATATGGAATTAATGGTTTTTAAAAAAGAAAATTTGTATCACTGTTGTTACACAAAATATTTTGTAATTTATTTGAAAATGTTTGTTATACTTGAAAAACCAATAAACCAATGTACATTTTTACCATTGATTACCTCTAAAGAAACCTTATCATACATACTATATACTTTTCTCATGTAGAGAGTAAAGCACATACCAATTTATCATTTTTCTAAATTTTGTTTTAGAATATATATATATATATATATATATATATATATATATATATATAGATATATATTATATATAGATAATATATAAATATTCATATATGAATATAACGTATTCATATGTGAATATGATCTTCTCACTTTCTCGGCCTTTGTTTTTTTTTTATATATATATATATATATATATATAGTATATATATATATATATAATATAGATATATATAAGAATTTATCGAATACCAAAAAATAACTTATTAGATTATTTCATTTTAGTATATAAAAAATAGGTAAATTGAGTAAACTAACTATTATAAACGAGGTTTTCAAATAAAATAACCATATTTTTTTAGTTTTTTTTTAAAAAAAAAAACAACTCTTTCCGAAATGCCTAATTTCGGAGTACTGTTCATCTTTTTTCAGATTTTTTTTTTTTAATTTTCAAAGAAATTATTTTGTTTTTTTGGGGGGATTCCGAATGCTACATTTCGAAATGTTTAATGTCATCGTTTTTCAATACCGGAGTAAAATTTTAAATTTCGAAAAAAAATAATAAAAAAAACTCCAAAATTTCAAGAAAAAAAATCAATTTTTTTCTTAATTTAACAAAAAAAAATTAAACTATATACAATATGAATGTATAAAATTTGACATTTTATTGAAAAACGATAACATTAAACATCAGGAAATATAACATTCAGAAACCCCAAAAAAACTAAATAATTTCTTTGAAAAATTATTTTCTTTGAAAACCTCGTTTATAATGGTTATTTTACTCAATTTCCCTAAAAAAATATTCTACCTAATATGTTAATAATATGATCAATGATCTACGATTAAACCCACATGGACCATCCAATCGGTGTTGTTTACCCTTTTTTTTTCCTAGATTGTGTTATTGTACTGCACCGAATAACCTAATAAACACTTGCAAACAAAATAAAAAATTGTTTCATATAAGTAAAAATCCCAAACACCATGATTAAAAAATTAAAAAGATTAAAAAAACACCTACATTCCCATACATCAAATATATGCAGACATATTTTATTCAATACACAATCTTCCCTTCTCTTCTTCCCATTGTTACCCAATCCAAACAAGTACTATACCCCCATCACAAACTAACTCACAAGTTACAAGTTACAACATTTCTCTTTTTTTTCATCCCCAAATCCTACATTCTACACAAATCATTCTCTCTATTTGTGTAAACATCGTTCCACAGAACAACTTTTCTGAAATTTGAATTTTGAACGTGTACTTGGCTGTGGAGGGTGGCGGCAAGTGGCGGCTGTGGGTGGTCCGGGAACCCGTTTCCAACCACAAGATCAAGACAGATGGCATTGTTGTTGTCATCTAATCTAGCCCTTGGATTCCCGGGACCCACAACATCATGATTGCTGTTTTTAACTACGGGAACATCGTGATTGTGTTTTCCTTCGTATGCGGTTATAACTGCTTTAGGATCGTGTGATGCGCGTTCTACATGTTTTCTTACATTGCATCCAGCACTTGTGCATTTGTAATAACTCCTGTGTAATGTGTTGGATCATGGGTCAAATTGGTTTCGGGTCAACGGGCGTGTCGGGTTGACCCGCTATCAGTTTTTATCCGGGTTTTTTTTTTTGAAATTTCGTAATTAGTTATTAGATATGATAAAAGAAAAAAAAAACGACATTTTTAATAAGGGTTTACAGAAAATGGGTACCAAGGATTAGTCTCTATAATTTTGTAATTTACAGAAAAAGTCCCTGTGAAGTTTCTTTTTTTACAGAAAAGTCCATATGTTTACGATTTTCATATGTTGGCAGGTTTGGCCCCTGTGTAGAAAATAAATTACAAAAATAGTCCCTGTAACTTACAGAAAAGGTCCTTGTGCAGTTTTCTTTTACAGAAATGGTCCATATGTTTAAAAAAATTACAAAAATAGTCCCCACCCAACAGAAAATTTGCAGATTACACCCCTGAAAATATATTGCCATGTTTCATCCCTACACTTTTTTGGTTTCACACTTTGGCCACAGGACTTTTATATACTAGTTCTACCTAATTATATTTGTATGTGACAAAATTGTTGTAATTGGAAGAAATGAAAGTATGATGCTATAAATGAAAACAATACATACCTAGGGTTAGGATTGCCTCTCACAACTTTTTGACCATATTTCCTCCAACGGTATCCATCATCCAATATATCAACCTCACTGGTGGTTTGAACCACCACACGTGGCTCACGGATAGGCTTCACCACTGGGGTCACATCAAGTGCACCAAAATCCGTTCGCCTGATCAAAATTAAAAAAAAAAAAAATCAACAATCATTAGAGAAAAAAAAAATCTCTCAAACTTTATTACCTTTTTTTGGAATATGGATCATCCTCATCATCAATCCCATCTGTGTTTTCTTGATTTGCATATTTAGGAGATTGCACAGGGGTTCCACTGTCATCTAAGTTGGGATTCTGGACATTATTTGCAGACATGCCTTTGATAATGAAAAATGAAATAGAGATTAGAAGATAATTATATATAATAATGGTGGAGAATGTGAAAAAAAAAAAAAAAAAAAAAAACCTGGTTGATAATTTGCATATTGAAGTTTATCAAGATTTTCTCTTGTATTGACATAAGAGCACCAGCACTAAATCGGCGACTAGGTTGAGGTTTAGGATGATCATGTGTCCCTTTATACACAATCTCAGTTATTTGTCCAGTATAAGATCTTTCAAATATCTTTTTCACTTCACAATTTGGATGTGTACATTTGTAATAGCTTCTTGGATGTTCACTTCCTTTCACAACTTTCTGCCCGTATTTTCTCCAATTGTATCCATCATCTGATGACCTGTCAACTTGGATCGTGGGTCCCGCATCTTTATGCTTCCCCAATCCGTTTGTTTCCTCATGAGACATGTATACAGATGAAGATGCAGATGCGTATGATTGAGGCTCACTTTGGTTTTGATATTGACCACTTGGTTCTCCTCTTTGAAGATTTGAACCTGTAGAAACCTTTCATGCAATTGCAACCAGTATTATTTATAATCCGTTTTACTTAATCTGTAC